TGCCTGCCTGTCTGCCTGCCTGTCTGTCTGCCTGTCTGCCTGTCTGCCTGCCTGCCTGCCTGCCTGCCTGCCTGCCTGCCTGCCTGCCTGCCTGTCTGCCTATCTGCCTATCTGTCTATCTGTCTCTCCAGCTGTCTGTGCTGCTGCCCTCAGGGCTCTACAGTGGAGTCGAGGAGCTTTATGGAATTTCCTTTGCTCCCATAGTACTTACTCAGCCATTCATCACCTGGACTTGGACATGTCCAGGAGCAAGCAGGGAGCTTGTAAAAATATTTGCTGTTCTTACAGATGATGTTCACTGCACCTAATACGCATTTGTCTTATGACTCAGTCCCAGTCCCGTTCCCCTTTGGAGTTGTCATTGGAAACACTCGCCAAAGTGTCTGAAGTCTGCAGAGTAGCTCTAAACACCTGGTGCCCCGGAGGGGGGCCAGTGGCAGGGCGCGATGGGCCATCTGTCAGTTACCAGACTGCCCCAAGACCCTGGCAATGTCCGCTCCCTGAGCCAAAGCTTCCTTGTCTGTACACTGAAGTTGGACCAGAAGATTGCTTTTTCAGTCTGGTTTCTGTGAAGCCCAAAAGTCTCTCAGACCACGTAGGGCTAGGGTCAGAGATCAAAGTGAGTGCCACTGGGCTGTAGTCTCTGGGGACTTGCTGAACTGTGACCCTGGGGTTCTGCAGCCTTGAGCCTTCTGCAGCTGAGGGTGGAGACAGAAGCAGGAGCTGTCAGAAAGGAGGGTAGTTCAGCTCCACAAGTGAGGCGAGGATGGGGAAAGGAAGCCCAGATCCAGTGGGAAGAGCTTGGAGGGAGAAGCTTCGAAAAGCTGAACATTTCTAATCTAAAGCAGCTTCCTTCAGCTCTAAATATGCCCTAGAGCTCCTTGTTCTCTTCCATCCTGACACACGATGCATGTGCACACCCCTTCCTGGAACCCTTTCTGCTCACACTGTCCATCACCTTCAGGATGCCAGGCTGAATTGGAAAGGTGCTGGTACTTGGGTCAGCAAGGTGGTTGAAGACTTGGTCATAGGAGGCTCTGGGTGTCTTGAGGAGAAAGCAGCCACTGACACAGATGGGCCCATCTGGGATGGGACAGAGTGGGTGGTGACCCAGACAGAAATCAGACGAGAGCCTGGGACAGCTCAGAGAGCGGGTACGGAGGGAACAGGGAGCCCAGCCAGGGCCAGGCTGATGTGTGAGGACAGCATGGTCACACTTCAGGTCTGCTGAGTTCCGTGGCTCTTGCCAGTACATAGTAGTGCAGAGAGGAGTTGCTCGGTGGTAGGGAGATGCAGGCCTACCCAAGGAAGCTGGTTTCCAGTTTGAGTCCCACTCTGTGCTGTAACCTTTCACAACTGGTCTTGCTGTTCGGGCCCTGTCCCCTATCTTGTAAATAAGGGCCAGTGCGAGGTGGCCCCAGCTCCCTCAGAAAGCTGTGGCTTTGTCACTTCAGGCCTCTGGTCTGCGGTCCTCAGCCTCTTCCTGTGGGATTCCCGGGGGGCAGAGGCAGCACCTGGACAGGCCCAGCTGGCCCTGCAGCATGGAGCCCTCGCAGCCCGTGTGCAGGGGCTTCCAGTCTCTGCGCCTGTGGTCCCACTAGTGGGGGTGTCTTTAGAACACAGTGCTGTGAGCATCTCCTTCCTCGTCCACGTGGACATCAGTGACCATGGAGGTGAACAGGCTTGGTTTCCACTTCCGGCTTCTCTCTTCCCTGGGGCTGTCTCCCCATCCACAAGACAAAGACGCATCAGGATGCCCCTCTCAGAGCCAGGGCAGGGCAACCCAGCACCCTGCATAGACCACAGCAGGCTGCATAATAGACGGAGCCTCACCTGGACCCTCCTTCCAACCTAGATTTTTGTTCTTTTAAGAATGTATGGGTGGGGGCCGGGGATTTAGCTCAGTGGTTTCGCCACCTGCTGCACAAGCACAAGGACCCAAGTTCAATCCCCGGTACCTAAAAACAAAAAAAAGAATGTATGGGTTTCTCAAAATGGCCAGTAATCGTCACTCAAATCCTTCTATCTTTAGATCTTAAGTCTCTTTTTTTTTTTTTTTTGGTACCAGTGTTCAAACTCGGGTCTTTGCGCTTGCGCAGCAGGTGGTGAAACCACTGAGCTAAAGCCCCGGCCCTAGATCTTAAGTCTTAAGAAAAGGAACTTGGAGGCATAGTGTGTTGGTCCTATAAAACTAAGTGATAACAATACATTTCACTGTTTTGAAAGCAAACTGGTTATTATGGACAGTTTTGAGAGTCATGTGATGGGGAGAAGTACTCAGAACCTCACCCCACACTCAGCCTCCTCCATCCACGGTGTGGATTTGCAAAGGGTCCAGGGCTACTGGAGGGGCTCTGAGAACCAGACTCGCTCAGAGGGATGGGGCTGCATCGAATCAGGCCATAGTGACCTCTCACTGCCCAGCACCCAGCTTGTGTGGGAGGCCTTCCTTCCGCAGATGGGTGCACCCATGAGTTCATGAGCTGCCTCACGAAAGCTGACGGCACCTCTTTGTGATTCCGTGTTCAGTCGTATCATGTTTTAAATTGGCCATGGTGGAAGTATTTACACCACAGAAATTGGCATGCTTCAAATCTGGTTATTTTTCTCCCAGAAGCCAGTTTCTCAAATCAGCCCAGAAAGGCCCAGCAGTTAGAGTTGGACAGTGAGTCGGAGTGGAGAGTAAGCCCAGGTCAGCCAAGCCTGCATTTTGACCCTGGGCCCTGCTCTCTTAGCACCTCGTGCTGTCTGCATCTTGGGTGACTTCCTTGGGTTGGAGGTCTGGCAGGAGTATGATGCTGGGTTGGGAAGTTTTCGCAGATGGTGCAACCTCAGGGCTGCATGAGAGGTCTTAGCCCGAGTCCTTCTTCACCCGTTTTCAGCTGTATGGACGGCGCGCGCCCTGGGAGGATCCTGCCAAGTGGGTGATGGACACCTACCCGTGGGCAGCCAGCCCCCAGCAGCACGAGTGGCCTCCCCTGCTGCAGCTACGACCTGAGGATGTTGGCTTCGATGGCTACGCCGTGCCGCGGGAGGGATCCTCCAGCAAACAAGTGCCCCCCAGCGACGCTGAAGGAGACCCGCTGGTGAGTCCACTGTTCCCCAAGGGCTCAGCGCCCAGGGCACTGCTGTATGTCGGTCGCAGTTCTGGGCACTCCAGAAGGACTGAGGTCACTAAGCCCGGCCTAGCCTTGGAAGGCTGGGTCCACCCCAAGACTCGGGACATGTGTACCAATATTTTCTAACATGGTTTTAGTTTTTCACCAAAGCCTTTATACTCCCTGAAATTTTTTCTGGTATAAGATCAAAGGTTAAGAGTTTGATTTTTTTTTTTGCCATCTAAATGTCCCTACACCTGTTGTCTCTATTCTACTATTTGCCCTTTGAATTGAGATGCCACCCTTAATGTGTATTGTCCCATTCCTGCCATCGCTCCTCTGAACACTTAACAGAGGACGAGCACACCTAGGACCAGGAGCCCCAGCCTAATGAGAAAGCACATAGACCATAGACCAGAGAGGTGCGGTCACACTGCTAATCAGTACTGTCATTCTCTACCCATGGAAGAACCATACATAGTCATCCTGCTGGTTTAGCCCTGCCCACTCTTAAGCCCCATAAAATAAAGAGGAGGAAGTGAATATACCCAAACCTCCCACGGTTATGTGGCTATTATCATACCTGAAATTTAGCCCCAAGCTTCTTTGGCAGCAATGGCAAAAAGAAAATCACAGCAGAGAATATTAACTACATTACCCAATGAAAGAAAACAGTCATCAGCAATGCAGCAGGATTAAAAGGCAGCTGGTGCACTGTTCTGTCCCAGCCGGCCAGTTGATTTGCTATATTAAAAAGTAATAATAATAGGTGATTTGTGTTGTGTGCTGGCCTATGGAGAGAGGCAAGGTAGGTGGGTACCCTTGAGGATTTCAAGTGGAACTGCATTTTTAAGAGATTTCATGTTTGTGTCACCGAGCACAACCTGCTTATAGTGTGCACGGTGGTTTTCTGGAGGAAGGAAGCACACTTTGGACGGCATCTGTAAGGAAACTACTGCGCAAAGCCAAGGCCACAGGGGTCTTTTTGGTGTGGTCATGCTCATGGGGTCTTAATATATATCAAAACAGAATTTAGGACATCTAGAGGAAAGAATGGACTTTGCAAGGTGGTCTTTTTTTTTTTTGGTACTGGGGATTGAACTTGGGACCTTGTACTTGCAAAGCAGGTGGCGGAACCACTGAGCTAAATCCTGGCCCCCAGTGGTCTTTTCTTAGCCAAGTATTTGTAACACTGAACTGAGAAGGTGCTTAGGTAAGATCTGGCGTTTGAAGAACACTTCCTTTTCCAAATCCAGGACCCCAGAAGTGAGCTGTTGGAATCCAGCCACCCTCACATACCAAGTTAGGTGCTGGGCTCTCCCAAGTACCTCCTCTCTGCCCAGGACCATAATAACTCTATTTCATAATCCTTCCCTCATGGCCCTGAAGTCCCTCTGAGGACAGCCTTGGCTTTATAGCCCCACATGCTGTGGTGCACCAAGAATGTTTGATGAGTGAATAGCTAATCCCATCTGCCCAGGGTTGTCTGTTGTACTTCAGCACCGCCTCTTCCCTTGCTGTGGCTCTGCAGATGGATACCAGGTCATGTCTTCTGGCCTGCCTTCTGGGGGAAGCTGCATAGCAACTGAGGGGCAGCGGAGTTTCATACTCAGCTGCACCACAGCTTGGCCTTACCCCAGGGAGGCGCTGTCTCCCTGACTTCTTTGCTGTATGAAATAGCAAACACACAACTCCTAGCTGTACATAAAATAAGAGTTGCTTGTAATTCCTCCTATCCCAAACCATGGCCAACAGGATGCAGACGAGGGAAGATCGACAAGCTCGGTCTCTTAAGAGCTTCCCTTTGAGCTGGGGGAAGCCAGTGTGCCAGGGCGGCCCCTTCCTCAGGGCCTAATGCACATTTCGCCCACCCCCTCCATCAGCCCTGCAGGACACAAGCTGCTGTCCTCCCATCTGCAGAGGAGGGCCTGGTGGCTCCAATGCATTTGGTATCCAGAGTCCCCATCCAGACACCTGCTCTCTGCTCCTAGCCTTGCTCCCCCCACCGCCACCCCCAGGGGCTTGGGCAGCAGCTCCAGACTGGCCCGGGTCCAAGCCAGGGCCCTGGCAGGGCTTCCTGCTCACCAGGTGGGCGTGTGCTCCAGACATTAGTGAAGACGGTGCCCGTGTTCTCAGAGCAAGGCTGCTGGGATGGCATCTTCACCCAGCGAAGGGTAATGCCCAGGTAAGGTGTGCCCCTCCCCAGGAAAAAATGTAACACTCACAAAGGACTTTCTGTTTTGTTTTCAATAGTGCACACGTATTAATTCTGTCTGCACTAGGACATTCTAGGGCAGGTACTACCATTATTTGCACTGGACCAGTAAAGGAAAGGGCTCAGAATGTTAAGTCTCTTGCCCAAGGTCATGTAGCCGGAGAGAGAGGAGGCCAGGCTTAGAACCCTAGGAACCTGGCTCCGAGGACACCGACTGCAGCTCATGCCTCTCTGCTGTTCCCTAGATGAACATGCTGATGCGGCTGCAGGAAGCAGCCAACTACTCCAGCCCCCAGAGCTACGACAGCGACTCCAACAGCAACAGCCACCATGACGACATCCTAGACTCGTCCTTGGAGTCCACTCTGTGACAGGGGCCCGGCCGTGGGGCCCACCCTCCACTCCTTGCCTCACCCCATTCCACCGCATCCTTCTCCACATCGTCCGAAGAGGACTTCCTGAGCCAGCCTGGCTACACGCAGCCTCCGAGCCGCAGGAGCCCCAAGTCCCCGAGTCCTCGTGTCCCTCATCCAACTGCCTGGGGTCCGCTTCCCTCCACAGTGAGAACTGCACTATCTTCTGTTTGACTTTAATCCTTGTTTTGCCTTGTTGCTGTGACCTCCCTAAAGACACTGACGATACTTCTCTCGGGAAAGGATCATCGCCATTGAAATAAGTTGAAAATAGTTCAAAAAAGAACCCACTGGAAGCTCTGAAACCAAACAGCGTCCTGCCAGGAGCTGCCCAGAGATGGAAGGGACAGGAGCCAAGTTGGTGACGTTGACAGCAGGGCTTCCCCGCAGCTGCAGCCACACCCCGACCTCCCACCCAGCCTGTCACAGAACTGGTGCTAGCAGCGGGACACTGGCTTTGGTCACCGGCCCCGCACTGCAGAGCTCGGGCCAGGGAAAGCTGAGAAGGAAACGCATCATGCTTTTTTGTGTTTTTTAAATGGTGCTCTCCTTGCCTGAGAGATATTTCGCCTGTTCTATTCAGCCTCCCGTTCCAGGTCCCTCAGGCCCCCCATGATCCATGAGAGTGAGTGACTGAGTAAATGTGAGCGTGCGGGTGTGGCTCTCCTTGCAGAACAGCACGTATCTGTTCCTTTTTTTATGTGTCAATGAATCAGGTTGGTTTTTATTTTATTTTTCTGCAAACACTGTGTATATTGAGAATTGTTCTCCTTCGGGGACCTGATGACCTTGGTAAAATGAGGTTGAGTTTCTCCCTTTCTGACTCACTTGCTTTTGAAGATTTTTCTCCTTCCGCTCTTGGTGAGAGTCGCTCCTTTGGTGAAAGTTAGGGCCTCGGGAGTTGAGTTTTGCTTTGGTCGGTCCTGCCCCATTGTGGTTTTGAGTTCTTCACTGTTCTACACACTCGCCTCCTACTGCTGGGGCTAGGCGGCTCATGTCCTCCTCCTGGGGGTGAGCCCTGGAGTTTTGCCTTTCCTTCTCATCTTTGAGGGCTGAGGTCACACTTCGGGCGCCCCAGCCCCAGCCCCAGCTTCAGGTTGGGTGGTGAGGTCACCTCGCAGAAGACTTGCACTTTCCCCACGACCAACGTGGCCCAGCTCAGCGGGGCGGGCGGGGTGGCCACCCCTCCCGGAAGCCCAGCCCTGTCCTCCGTCTGGCCAGCCTTGCCTGACCTCTTCGGTGCTGCCCTTCCCGAAGCGATGCCTTACTGGGTTTGTCCTAACCACCGTGTTCCTTCACATGAGTGTTGTGCCTGCCTGATGTTTTTGTTTTGTTTTTCCCCATCACAATGAACAGGGCTAAAGAGTCATCTATTCGTTAGGGGAACTCCTCAAGTTGCTGTGACCTTTCTCATCTAAGACTCATTTGTGTGGATGCATGAGCATGGGAAAAAGAAAAAGGAAAAAAAATTCCATGTTTTTAGGTTCTTCTCACCTCCAGCTGACAACCTGATAGGACAGTGACCTTCGTCACCAGCCCAGTGTGCAGAACCCTGCTGATTCTTTTGGCCCGGTCTTTGGCTCACTGGGATTTTCTTCACCGAGTGTGGTGCATCTTTTAGTTTGTTTTTGCTTTATAAAGAGAATCTTTATTGGGCTCCAGTGAGGGTGTTTTTATTAATGATCAGGGTTTTATTCCATTTTTTGCCTTTCTGTTTCTGAAGGTTTGTGTCTTGGCATTTTTCTTTATTTTCTCATCATAAGATCTTGGCCGAAACTGCTCAGCATCACTTGGAATGACACTACTCTCTTCCTCTTCGAGAGGAGCCGGGGATCGTGTTCCACTAACTGGTGACTAGAAAACCTTTCCACACAGTTCCTGCTCACGTCTCGGCCAACTCAGACTCTATTCTGCTCAGCCTTCATGAGTCATCTGGGTGTGAGTGTGTCTTGTGCTGTTTTTGTTTTTAATAAAACTTTCAACCACATATTTAGCCTGTGGCCAGGAGCCAAACCCTGAGCCTTCTGGTAAGCCCGAAGGCTGGCCCTTCTCAGACAATGTATCTCCCAGCAATGACCTTACACTCTCATACTGTGAATTTGGGAGGAAATGAAGCTGACCTCCTCCTCATGGGCAGTTTTCCCAGTCACCTTTCGAGTAGACACCTGCAAATGTTATTTGAAACTTTGGGGTTTGTTTTTTTCAATGACACCCTCTCTTCTCTTTATCCCCTTACCCCAGACTTCCCTCCCACTGGGTCCAGACTCAGAACCAAGACCTGTGTACCTGGTGCTGCCCGAGAGGCAAACAGCGACCCCACGTACTGGCCCTTGTGTGACTTCACAACTCAGTGCCCTTCTTAAAGCTTCGGGAAGCAGGGTTGTCAAATATGCCTATTTCTTATTTTGATCATAGTTTTACTTTTCGTGTCACTCACCTTTGACAAAGTGACTTTGTACTCATTTAGGGCTCTGTCTGAAATGCTTCCATTTTGCCTTTTTCTACTGTTAGGCTAATTTTGAAAAGTATGAAATTCTATGCAACATGTAAGTTGAGTTACTAATGGAAGCCAAAAGTTTTCTTCCCAAACTGCCAAGAATTATACAGGCCAGCCATAAATGAGATGGGAATAACTTTTAATTTAAGGTTTGGGGTGGGGTGGGGTAGGGTGGGACAAGGAACAAGACTTGCCTAGACCTTTGTCATATCTTAGGGACATTTTTTATTTCCCTGTTTAATGCTCAAACTTCCAAATTCTGTGTATTCCAATTTGATTGTGGTGAATCTACTTCAAAAGGAAGAATAATCTAACTTCATGGATATTAAATGGAAGGTTTGCTGTTTTGACCTAGGTGTTTCCAGTGGAGCAGTTTATGAAATATGTTCTATAAGATGTACATTTTTTCATTGTAACATAGAAATTGTAAATAATTGATTAAAGTGCTGCATTTTGATGAATTTTTTCTAGCCATTTTTAAAGAGAAAACTAGGAATTGAGTATTTTGTGTACGGTATGTTTCCATCCTCCCTCCCACTCCTCCTGCCTTCCTTCCCTATTTAATTTTCATTTGTCATGAGGTTTCTGGATTTGCCAGTGATCTGCTGGAGATCATGCCCCACGTCATAGAAAATAAAGCTGATGATTGTACCAGTCTTAAATTATTCATGATTCAATAAAATTGATGCTTATTTATTCAAATGAATGGCTCGGCCCGTCTGTACTAGAGCAAAACCTGATTGTACCTCAGCGTCATGCCAAGAGGAAGTCACTCTGGTCTGGAGACAGGAACCACAAAACATATACGAACCTGGATATGCCAGTGTGCCCTCAACACCCCACCTCTTCTCAGTGTCTCATCAAAGTTGCCACGATTCATGTGGAGCTTGTGAGAAATGCAGGGTTCAGATCCTGTCATGCTTTATAAATCAGGGACATCTTGTAGAATCATAGGTGATGATCCAGTAGATCCAGGTGGCCCTCAAGATTCTCGGTTGTTTTTGTTCATTCAAAACTATTTTTAGTTTTACTTATTTATCTAATACAGTGTGCTAACTCAATACATGTGTACAATGTGTAACTGTCAAACCAGGATAATGAGCATTTCCATTTCCTTAAACATTTGTCATTTCTTTGTGTTGGGAACCTTCAGACTCTTCTAGATCTTTATAAAATGCTCAATTGCAAACTGTAGTCACTCTACTTTCTTTCATACCACTAGTGTTACTGGAGTGCTGGGGTTGTGTCCCACAGTGATGAAGAATGAAACCGCGGATGGAGGAGGTAAGGTGCAAGGAAATTCATTTAAAAGACACAAAGGTAAGAACATAAAATATATAAAGGCCAAGAAGTAAAGCTCCCATTAGCCACGAGGAGGTTTTGAGTAGGATACTTACGAGGGCTCTTTGCCCAGGATATGTTAATGGGTTTAGAAGGGAGCTCAGGCTATTGGGTAAGCAATATCTCTGTCCTATAGGAGACTCGTACTTTAGGGCCCAGTCTATGCCATGCTCATGTGGTGCCCTTGAGCGAATGGCCTGTCTGATTCTCCTCTGGGGAGGTCCTGGACAACCGAAGGACACTTGGCAGATATTTTGTAAAATCCCTTGAGGGTTATGACAGCAGACTCCATTTGGGGGCTGTTGTCCTTACTGCCTAATAGGATCCTAACTCCTGTCTCACTAGTTCCCGGTACCCTAAGTACCTGTGCTTCCCATCTACTTTGGTACCCATTCTCTGATCTCCCTCTCTCCATTCTCCCCAGTACAGTACTCCTCCCAGCCTCTAGCGATCACTTTTCTACTCTCTTCGACCTTGGTACCAACTTTTTAAGTTGCACATATGAATGAGAATATGCAGTCATTGCCTCTCTGTGTCTGGCTTACGTATTTCACTTAACATACTCTCCTCTGTTACCACAAATGAGAGGGTTTCATTCTTCTTTACGGCTGGTAACATTCTACCTCATGTCCTTACCTGCTCATCTGTCAGTGGGCATTTTGGTTGACTCCATGATGTGGCTGTCGTACACATGGGGATGCAGGGGTCTCCTGATATACTGAGGTCATTTTCTTTGGATATATTCCCAGTAGTGGGATTGCTGGATCATATGTTCTATTTTTAATTTTTAAAGGAACCTCCATACTGTTTTCCAGAATACCAGCATTAATTTACTTTCTACCAGTAATGTATAAGAGTTAACCTTTGTTCACTTCCTTGCCAGCACGTGCTACTTTTTGTCATTTTGATGATAGCCATTCTACGTGGGGTGAGATGGTATCTCGGATTCTCAGTTTCTAACAAGCTCCTGGGAGATTCCAGTGCTGTGCTCCCTGGGCCACACTTTGAGTAGCAAGCAATGTCAGTCCATCTGGCCCTTGAGTTGGCCATTTAGCATTAGGATTTTTTTAATGTATCAAGTACTTACTGATTGATTGTCAGGTGCTTTCCCACATAACCTGCATCATCTCCAACACAATCTCCAAAATGACCATGGGGAGATATTTTTACCCCCTCCCATTTTACAAGTGATTTAAAACAGGCTCAGAGAAAACAACTTGCCAAGGAACTTGTAGGTAAGAAGGGAGAGTTGGGATTTCAGCCCCATCTTTTGGCCACAGGCCCTGCCTGGCCAGGTCTCCCCTTGATGTAGGAGGCCTCATTCTAGGTTGTGTCTATGTCCAGAGCAGACCCCGGCAGTGGGAGATGGCGTCACATCTTAGCATTCGCTTGAAGAGCAACAGCAAGACCTTGAAAGGGTTGAAGTGAGTCCTGAGGTTTACAGTGAAATGGATCCCACGCAGCTGGCTCAACTGCTAGTGACATGAGAGCCTAACCCATTAAGATGCACAGTGATGGCCTAGCCAGGGGGAGACAGGGAATCCAGGTGTTAAGCATAAGCAATTTTTAATGCCTGTCCAAAAACAACAACAAGAAGAGGAGGGTGGTGCCATGGTGTTGCAGCTACATGTCCTGAATCCCAAGATTTTCCATGCCACTTGATATATTTTGATGTTTCTTAGGGGATGGGACCCACATACATAAAGGGCTTAATGGGCTAGGATGACTAAAGGAATCCAAAGAAACAGAACTATGGGTTTACTGGTCCCAGACTTTGTACTGAAGGTTTTGCTTTGTCATCACAGCATCTCTGAGAAGTAGATATTATTATCTCCATTTTGTAAGTGAAAAACATGTGAGATTACAGTTGAGTGATGATAAGTAACATACAGTCGAAATGGAATTCTCCATTTATTTGATTCTAAACTGCAATGCTTTCTGCTACACTGTGCTGTAGTCCACTAGGCTTCACCTTGAGGGTAGGATTATGGATCCCATCTGTCTTCATTATTTGTTGCTGTGTTAACAAATTTCCCCAAAGCAACAGATGAAAGCAACAAACATTTTCGCACACTCTCTGTGGATCAGGACGCCAGCCGCATTTCCTGGGCACTCTGTCTGCCTCTGCACTTTTCACAAGGCAACAATCATCATTCTTAAATATTTATAAGGAACATTTAAAAGCAGTCACCATAGAAAGCATCATATTTCAGATTACGAGGTAAAGATGACTCCTCTTACCCTTAACATCATGGTAAAAATACTTATCGATCCAGAAAAGCAAGAAGAATTAGGAAAATTGAAAAGGAAGAAGTTAGACTGCATTTACGGTTAACATTACAGTGTATACTCAGTCCAATAGAATGCACAGGTAAATTATTAGAAATAAGTATGTTTAATAAGTTTCAAAATCCATTGAGCATCTGTATGCAGCAAAATGGTAAAGAATTTGTAAAATATCAATTTAAGGGCAAAAATAAATGCAATATAATAGAGAAACCTCTACACAGACAAGACATCTATAAAACAAGCTGCAAGATATTAGCAAAATTACAAGTGAATGGAGGAAAATGTTGTTTATAAATTTAAAAAGTTATAAAGATGTCAGCTCCTCCAACATAGACTGTAGATTGGATACATTCAAAAAACCAACATAATTTGTGGAATTAGCAAAATGATTCTAAAATGTATAGGGAAAATGCAAAAGGTGGAGCATAGCAATGAAGAACATCAAGAGAAGACTGTCTACCAAATAGCAAGACTTACTCTGATTATTCATTAATTTTGTGCAAAACTTGGCAAACAGTTTAAGAGAACTGAATATATGTCCCTCCTAAGTTCAACATGCATGTTGCTTTGCTACATGGAATTGTGGGTAATGTCTCAGACCAAAGGACTTATTTTACGGAGGAGATGTGACAAAGGACACATTGACAATGGCAGCCCCAGGTTCCTACTATGAAACTGGTGCTCGGACTCTCATTTTAAAGGCTCTACAGAGGTTCCAGCTTGGGAAAGACCTTTCTTGTTGGAGCATGTCTTTTAGGAAACAGGATAAACTTTCAACCATCAGCCATTATTCATTATTGGCCTGGTGAGAGCGGTGAATGGGCATTTGCAGCTACCACAGCCCAGGTAAACAACTTTCTAGAATGAAGATCTGCCGCCCCCCACTCTGGCCAAACAATGAAGTGCGGCTGAAGAGTGGCTTGGCAGAATGGAAGTTAAGAAAGGAAAGGGAGAGTATCAAGTCTGGCCTCAGACTCAGATGTAGCTAGCAATGCAGACAATAGCTTGTTCTAATGCTCCCATTTTGAATATTTTTTAAAAAGAGATTATAACCCTGAAGACTCAGCTACAGGTGAACTCAAACAGGAAATGAGGGCTGCAGGGTGGAGGGATGGGCAGATGCTGTTGGTTTTTCCGTCTGTTCCTCCATCTGATTTACTTGAGCCTATCATGGACACCCTTCTGGTCCACTGGCAGCCACGGGTACCTGTGTCTCTGCTTCTCTCCCTGAGACTTTTCTCAGTGCCAGAGGCTTCTCTGACCCAAATGCAGTGCAGCCTGCAGGGTCTGAATATTTAGTGGCCCAGGAGACAACTGGGCCCCCAACTTCCCCACCCTTCTGAGGGGCAAATGTGAGGCACATTTCACAGGGTCCTTTTGAGAATCTCCGAAAATCATGAGCCCAGTTGCCCAGAGTGGAAATTAGGGGAACTTTACTGGCTTCTCTCCCTTCCTTGGCACATTTTGCCTCCTCCGTGATTGGCCAGCTCCAAGACAGGAACATCATGGTGGAAGGTTATGGCAGAGCAACCTGCTCAGTTCATGGCAGCCAGGAAGCAGAGGAGGACAAGAGCTCCAGAAAGGAAGAGGGAAGGGACCAGATACAGATCCTCAAAGCAGTGCCTCCATGACCCACCCAGCTAGACATGCCTACAAGTGTGTTCCACCAATCCCTGGGTGGATTCCAATGCCAATCAAGTCAACACTCCACTCTAACCACCACAGGATTCTACCCAGAGCCTCAGACGGAGCCCAGCTCTGCTGACACAGACCTCTGTGCTTGATCACAGACCTCTGGCCTTATTAAGTCACCCAATTTGTAATGCTTAGTTGTGGCCGCCCTTGGAAGCTGCTACAATTACACTCCCAACAGAAATGCACAATGTATAGTCCAAGAAATATGTACACAAATGTTCACAACAATCTGGAACAATCTACACATCCCCTGGCAGTAAAATGACAGAACTGTGATGTGTCACTGTCACACAGCAGTGAAAATGTTTGTGAATGGATATGGAGTTAATGCTGAGTGGAAGCAGCCAGACACCAAGGGACGCCCAGTCTAAGAGTCC